AAACCAACCTGTAACCCATAATCTCTTGCAGAAACCCAAGCCTGACGAGCGCATGTACCCATGCAGTATTTGGGGCCCGACCTGTGATGGGCTGGACCGGATCGTGGAGCAGTGCAGCCTGCCTGACATGCAGGTGGGCGACTGGCTGCTGTTTGAGAACATGGGTGCCTACACTGTAGCCGCGTCTTCCACCTTCAATGGCTTCCAGAAACCTGATATCCATTACATCATGTCCCGCACAGCCTGGTAAGTAGGATTTGGGAGCCCATTTTCATTACTTTCAGCTTCGTTAGCGGCTCTTTTAATGTTTGAGTTCTATTGTCAAAGCAGACCGGACACCATACCAAAATGAGCCATTTCTGTTCAATTAATCTGTCAAAAAGGCTTACTGATGTCAAACTCTGAATTAATTGGTTTGAATCCCTTAATTCATTGTAACTATTTAATTGATTCAGGGTTTTTATAGTTAACTAAAATCATAACAAATGTAGTGTCACTTAATGTATTAAACTAAAACTGATACAAAAATTAAACCGTAATGAACAAATCCACACAAGCAGGATCAACAAAGCTAATAAAATGACACAGCGCAAAAATATTACTAATAAACGTCATTAGATTAAAATGACGCAAAAATAAAAATTGTAAATAAACTATTACAATGAATTTGTCCGTGTGTAACTTCAGTAAATTGTGCTTATTCTTAAAATATTGTATTATATTAAAAATAAAAATATTTTTAATTTAAAAACACCATCCAAACAAAAATCTTGTACTGAAAGAATGGTTGAAGGAAAATGGTTTTGACTGACTGAGCTCATTGACTTTTCATTGCAGGCAGTGCATGCAGCAGATCCGTGCTCGGGGGATTCCACTTCCTGCGGAGGAGCTCTGTGCTGGAAGTGTGCCATCCCACTGTGGACACGAGAGCACATTGGATGTGCCAGCCAAGCCGTGCCCTACCCAAGTGCTGTGATGCTCTTCAATGCTGACTCCCAGAGCGAGAGCCAGTCCTCATTCAGACAGCGGTTTATCATGGTTCTCCACTGATTTACACCCAAACCCTGTCTTGAGGTCCACCACATCCAAATATGTGCTGTTGAATAACAATAGCTAAATTTCTATTCTAAATGCAGCTGTTTTTCCTCCATTTGTATAAGTTCCAAATGCTCAAACCTGAAAGACGCACAAAAACGCTCACAGGCCTGTGGCTGTATATTTCTTCTTTTTTTTTTTTTGCCATACTTGTAAAATGGGGCCAGATTCTTAACCGAAATGGCTGTTTTTCAATCTTTGAAGACTCGTACAGATTTCCTCCTCCTCAGTGACCATTTCCATTTTATACTTGATTAGTAAGTTAATTTTATTATT